CCCTCGGCTGCTTTCTGACTCCTTGCTCTGCGCTCTTGCACCTCGCGAAACGAGCTTGTATCTTCAATACCTATCAAGACTAATTGGCTTGTAGAGCATCATCTCTATATCCTCGTTGCGCAGTACCTCAAAGCTCACCCCACGAACGAAGAATCGCCCTACCGTCTGAGAATCAGAGGCCTTCCAATGCCTGAAAAGCTTCCTGGTGCTCCTCCAGCTCCCCGAGGCTGGAAGATTGGAAAGATCCTCCCCATCCACTCCCCCGCTTACAGTGGTGGAGGTGTTAGCGATAACCCTCTCAAAGATGCCATGGCTGAGATGCAGAGCATGGGAGGAATGCCTGGAATGCCTCAAATCCCCGGTATGGCCAATCTTGCTGGCATGATGGGCGAACCGTCAGCGAGTGGTAGCGAAAAGAAGAAGAAGGATAAGAAGAAGGGCAAGGCCTGAAGTCGAGACTTTCATATATCACCGTCACCTATCTGATTCTTTGTATCTATTACTCTTCTGGGTGCATTGCATGGGCGAAAGGCGTTGTGCGGCGTGTGACTAGAGGGCATTTTACATTTATGCTGTTCTCAGATACCAAATTAAACTCATGAATTTCATGACTGCTTGATTCTCCCCAGTAAGATTGGAATGAACTTTCCCCTACCACATTAGCATTTCAGCTTATCTGATTATTGTCTCCTTCTACCCTGTAAACTACCTTGTTGTACACTGTAATTGAAGAGGGCCTAGAACGGTGAAGGCTATCACAAGGCGGCAACTTTCGTAAACCTCAATCATCATTGGCCGGTCGTTTCCGATGACCAACGTTTACCCCGGAGACGTCAGCTCCCCCAGATCCGTAGTTCGTGCTAATTTCCAACAAACCATCCGATCTGCGATTCAGAAACCTTATATACCTTAGTGATCGTTTGCGCTGCGGATGTCAAGTCGCGTGCAGAATTCCATGTCCTTACGCGTTGATGGAATGAAGTGACGAACCCCGCCATTCCCCGATCGAGGGACCATGAACACAGACCCCACGAGAAGCCTGCCCAGCTATGGGTCCCCGAATTCGGGGCCTAGGCATCAGTTTCGATCCGGCTACAACTCTCCTCGGCCATCGTTTTGTTCTTCTGCGCCGGGCAGGTCTGCGACAGGTAAAGGTCGCCGTGCGGGAGGCCGCCAGATTACTCGGAACCGCGCGAGCTACAGTTGTCATACTTGTCGGAGGCGAAAGGTGAAATGCGACAAGGTACGCGCTTTCTTGTCGTCGCTTATCTTGTTGTCGTTTCAGAAACCTTGCTAAAAGTGAAAAAGGTCCATCCAGTCTGCGGAAACTGCGCGAAGAACGGAACCGAGTGCGTTTACGATGCGACCCTACAGAAAGATGCTGCCTCGCGCAGCGATCAAGACAGGGCTGCTCATGGAGTGAAGCGAAGAAGAGAAACTTCCCGACCGCTGGACCAGGATGCTGGTGATATGCAGTTGATCCAGGGCCAGCTGAGGCGGGCGGAGCACTCCGACGGGCAGAAGTTCGGATCGCAGGCGATTGAGGCTCGACTAGACAAGTTGGCTTCGATGATAGAGCGATTGAGCAAGACGGATCAGCCGCGGGAGCAGATGGAGCGGCAGCTGCTGGAACAACGGGCGAATATGGAGGCCATGAGCGCTGAAATTAGACAAGCAAACGGTGCACTACCGAGATCCTCTGCCAATTCGCGGCCTGACAGTCCGCGTCGAGGCGTCGACTCGAGTGGAGACGAATTTCCCATACCTGCTGGTCATGCTACTGACCTGGTCGATCCAGTCGGGAGCTTGAATCTAGGCCATCTAAGTCTGGAAGACGGCGGGAGGTCGAGGTAAGTTATGTGCCGGAGACGTAGCTGGACGCTCGGGCTGAACAAACACCAGATATGTCGGGACGACTTATTGGGCTTATATCTCCCAAGAGGTATGTTTTGATTGTTGAGGCGATTTACGGCTTAGGGCTGCAAGCTTAAAAAATATGCAGATCAATGAACTCAATCAATTGCTCAGAGATCAGAATCATTCACACAACGAGTCTGCACGCAACGAAAACTATGGTGACGAGATGGTCAGGACGCCCGACCGTCAATGGAAGAGCTCGGTATCAGCGGAAAGCCCCGATGCGATAGTTGGAGACAGGTTCTCTCGTGGAGAGACCTTTCAGAAGTCCATCTTGTTCCCCTCGAGCGAGTCGCCGTCCGTCAAAGACAAGGTGGTCGAGCCCGACATGCTGGAAAATGTTCCTACTAAACGGCAAAGCCATATACTCTACAAAGGCTTCATGTCCGGAATTCATGCCATAAGTCCAGTCATTCATCCACCCACTATCCTCAAATTGTACAATGCTTTCTGGGATTGGTATGATTATAGCAGCTACTCTGGGGAGCCTTGTCCAGACCCGTCTTTCATCCCGCTACTCTACGCTATCTGGTATGGCGGCTCAGTCACGGTCTCAATACGGACGATCAAGGCTGAGTTTAATGTCTCGTCACGATCGGCGCTTTCTAAGACCTACAACGACGAGGTTACACGATGGTTGACCAAGATATCTTTTCCCCGAAGCCCATCATTACAGGGCCTCGCAGCCTATCTTCTATTACATACAATTCTCTCCAGAGAGGAAGAACCTTTGACGAGCAGTTTATTTATTAGTCTTTCTATGCGAGTTGCACAAACAATGGGCCTGCATCGGGACCCTGCTAATTTCGGCATTGAACCCTGCGAAGCAGAGTATCGTCGCCGAATATGGTGGCATATTGTACATATGGACGGCGTTGTCGCCATGTCCAGTGGACTTCCACCTCTCGTCAGTGACGAGAAGTACTGGGATGTCCAGGAGACCCGTGAAGTCAAAGACACGCTCCTGGGCACTGCTGAAGCGGAACAGTATGAGAGATTGGTCACTACTGGTCTGCGGCCACGAGATAATCCAGATGACCCGACGATCTGTGGCGGTCCATCAATGGTAAACGTGTACTATCTGTCAGCACGAGGCAAATATGTCATGGCTCGTAAGTGACTTCTAATGCCTTGTTTACTGGCCAGATGGCTGACTTCAATCGAAGGTGCTGTCCGTCGTATAATGAAGATCCAATTAGGCACTGAGCCTGTCACACGAAGAGATATGCAGGAACTTCGTTCCATATTGGTCGATCTCCAGCTCAAACTCAACTCGATTATCAATAGAATTCCTGAGGCGAAGAATCAAGAGATTCACTCGCTTAACTCGGACAGATCACGATCCTTCTCATCTCCTGTTGAGGCTCGATCTGGTGAAACCGAACTACCTGGTGACGGCCCAAATGGGTGTCCAGAACAATACCATTCTCATGTTCTCGTAGCCTTCCACAAGTGGGCAAAAATACTTCTCTCGCTTTTCATCGATAAGGTAAGACGTGAAGGTCGACATCATCGAAAGTAATGTTAATCAAGTTCCCGAACAGGCTTTTTGTGTTGCTTATCAACCATTTCTCAAGAACGCCAAAAGCCGTATCTGGCCGACTGCTAGACAAAGGTAAGTCTGATGATGCTTTTCCAGGCTATAATGGAAGATTCTGACGGAGATAGCGCTCTGCGCCACTGCCACGGCTTCATGGAGAAGTTTATATCCCTGGCCACCGATCCAGATTTCCAGCCCTTCCAATGGAGCTGGCCCGGCAATCATCAGCCGATGCACGCAACCATGATCATGTTGATCGATCTCTACGAACGACCGTACAGCTCCGAGGCTTCCAAGTCACGGGCATTCATCGACAAGATATTCTCACTTTCAGGTCCCGATGGTGGTGTCGTTGGCGGAGAGGACGGCATCACGACTCAGCGACCTTTGAAAGATGGAGGCCGCGAAGCATGGGACATGATCCGCAGACTGCGTCAGAAGGCGTGGCAAAAAGCAGGCCTAGATCCACAGAGATTATGGACTGAACAGGCTCAGATCCGAGCTGGAGTGCCCTCGACGCCTCACGAATACTCACCGGTCTCCAGCTCATACCCAAATCAAGCGTCCGGCAACCCGTCCACTATTACACCACTGACCTCACGAAAACAGCTGACGGATTTCTCAAAAATGTTCTACAACATGACACGCTCACATCTCCTTCCCAATCCAGCCCTACGACCCAGTTCTCTGCGATACCAACTACCTCCTCCGGTCCCAAATGCAGTGCCTGCAACTCCCCAGGTGGTTTCTACTCCCCAGTTCTCTACGTCCCCTGCAATACCCATCCCCATGGCCGAACCCACACTGGCTGGCTCGGCCATTTCCACTCCAGAAAGTATACCACCGCTCACCTCGACTGTCCCGTTCGCTCAACCCGTCTTCACATCGTCCTCAGCTGCCTTGCCTTATATGGATACGTCCTCGCCTGCTTCGCAACCACGAGCAGCACCTACGCCGCCAAGCATGGTTGACCCGAATCTGAACTTCGACTGGGACCAGTGGGATGCAGTCTTTGGTCAGCATCTTCCTGTTGCAGATGAGTTGATGGAGCTCGACCCAGTCTCCGGATTCGAGTTTGCCGATCTCGCGAATACAAGGGATGTCGCTGGCAATAGGAATGTTGGGGGCAGTGATACGGGGATGAGTGATGTGCGAGATCCGGAGTGGTTTTCGTATTGCTGATTGTGGTGATGGACCGCGGTGTCTTCTGCCATGATTCAACGTTACACTGTACATAGGCTCTGAACTTACTGTTGTATATACGAAGAAAAATTCATGATAATTATTGAGGCTTGATAGGGTAGGGATATAATTCTATTTCAAGGACATAACAGATATGGGATTCATGAGGCGTAACTATATTGGAAGGATATGGAAGATGCGGTGGAGAGGAGCTATAACAGAAAGATAGCTGGATGCGTGGTATAAACTTCAGAGATCAGGCATGTAACCCCCAATCTCATCAGTATGCTTGAATTAGAAACAACCGCGTACTCCAATTCCCTAATTTTGGATCATGAGATTCTTCATAACTGCAGAACATTTAAACCTTCATCTCCTCGAGACCGTGCTTCCAGAGAGTGGCATAGGGGGTGACACCGTCCTCACGGAAATCAATCAGGACGTGCCTAGTAATGAGTTAGTAAAGGATTGGCTATTTCATCACGGATGAGGACATGACATACATAGCATCACCGTCCATGGACTGGCCCATAAGGACATCGTAGTTGTCATAGTTGGCAAGGATCTTCTTGACAGCGGCGGGGGCACCCTTCTTGAACGCGTCGATTTCCTCAGCGGGAGCACCCTTCTCCTGAAGCTTGGTGAGAACCTTCTTCATGTAGGCTAGAAATAAGTGTCAGCGACTGCTTGAGATGCCAGAATTGGTAGACTCGAAAGGCGACATACTCTTCAGGTGGGTCTTGAAATGCTCCTTGGAAGGCTTCATGCCCTCCTCGGTCTTGAGCCAGACGAGACGGAACTGATCCTCAATGTCGTGAACCATGACCTCCTCACCCTCACCACCGGCATCCTCATCACCACCCTCAGCGGAGGGGTTAGCACCCTCGAGCTCGAAGTCCTCATTCTTCCTCTTGAGGTACTTGCGGCAGTCGCACTCGTAGAGGACACCGTCGACCTCCTTGATGTTGAAGGTGTCAGCGAGAACCTCGTCTCCGGAGATGATGTCCTATAGAAGCAAAAGGAACATTAGCAATCTGCTTGTATGTGCATGCCATGTTGACAGATGCAACTGTTTTTATTCATGCCAGATCCGACATAGATAGTGGGGTAACGTCGAAAGCAAGGGTACATACCTTGTAAATGATCATTTTGAATTATGTGATGAGAAAAATTTCACAACAAGAAAGAAGAAGGGATGAAGATAGAAGAGAATGGCACACGGCTGGACAGATCAAGAGAAGGAGAAGGAAGAAAAGAAAACGATAGCTGGTGAGAACCCAAAGAGGGGGAAAATAGAAGTTTTTAGTGGCGCCCGTTCCAACCTTTTGGTGGGGTCTTTTTTTTTCACCTGCGATTCTCGAGGGGCAAAACAGCGCTAAGCCTCTTTTGGACTGGTAGACTTGCCTGGCCCCAGCAGTTGACAGACGGGGAACAAGCAGAATTGCCACACCAGAACGATTTTGCATTGAATTTGGGCAAGATCTAGTCTATGGAATAAGAGTCTGGTGCTTTCTATGGCATTCAATAGATCGGTCCAAAACTCAAGCCAGAATGTAGAGCAGCTCTACCATGGACGGTGGTTTGTCTGCCTCAGGGATCAAGACAATCATCAGGGGCTCCTCCTGACAGAACGGGTTGTTTTGGTAATTACAATACATTATTTACAATGGGGGTGTCTGCTGCAGCGCTGTGGAAATAAGTGTATCGTACAATACATTTTAAACAAGCATATGATCTCCAGTTGATTAGATAAGTAGACGGCCCGGATCTGACTTCTCGTGGTGCCACTTGACGATCTACTGATCGCGATGAACTGCTAGGGGCCCTTTTTTCTGTTGTCCAAATCTCTGCGCTTGCTCCAGTTCTTATTCCATATCTTTATGGCTGTTCATTCTCGACTGAGGTGAACATCGATTCCTAAGTGCCTCCCTCGCCTAGATTGATCGATTGACTCAGCATCCCCGGTTTCTTGGTCGCTGGGCCTAATCCACCGCGTCCCCTGACTGTGGCGGACCGCTTTTGAGAAAAAAAGACTCCCGATCAACTGTTGATTGATTTCGACATCACCTCTTATCTTCCTACTCAGGGTCTTCGCATCCTCTAAGATTCGGCCTTCCGTAAGCTTGCTTCTACGATTCTTTCCCATTTCTCCGACCTTCACCTAAAAGCATCCGCAATTCTACTCCTGACGGCCATCGCTGCAATCTCCGCCCTCGTTGCCTGATTTCACAGAGACCCATGCGTTGATCTCTCGAATTCATCACATTGCGCCCATCCTCCCTCACTTACGCATTCTGGCGTTGACGCTCTGAACAGTCAAGCCATGGCAGTCAACGCATCCGTCGAGTATGACTACCCTCCTCTGCCAAGCTACACCTTGACGCCCCGTCCTCCTCTTCTTGCGCCGATCCCAGACAATATTCTTGCTCTGATTCTGCCGATTGTCGCATATTGGGGGTTATCTATGGTCTACCATTTCATCGATGTCTACGATCTTTTCCCACAGTATCGTCTGCACACTCCGGCCGAGGTTTTGAAGCGGAATAAGGTCACGCGCTGGGATGTGGTCAGAGATGTCATTCTACAACAGGTTATTCAAACGCTCGCTGGTATGTCGGTAAGCTATTTTGACGCCCCGGAATACATTGGAAAAGAGGAGTACGATATTGCCGTGTGGGCCCGCCGCCTTCGGTTTGCTCAGAAGGCAATCCCACGTCTGTTGGCTGTGTTCGGAGTCGATGCTTTGAGCTTATCACGTAGCCTGTCTCAAAACGGCCGTACAATGCTAGCTGGCGTACTAGCTGGCGGGCAATATCCCGGAGTTACTCGATCTTTTGTTTTGGACAGCGGTATCGAAGCGGTGGTACCTGCTTTCACCAATTGGGAGCTATCAATGGCCAGTTTCGTCTACTGGTACTTTATCCCTGCGGTACAATTCACACTGGGGGTGTTTATTGTTGATACTTGGCAATATTTCCTACACCGAGCGATGCATCTGAACCGCTGGCTTTATGGTATGTACCTTGATACTTTTTTCCATCCCTGAAGCTTCTGAAGCACTTTTGGGAGACGCGACTGACACTTTACAGTCACTTTTCACTCTCGCCACCATCGCCTTTATGTCCCATACGCTTTCGGAGCACTCTATAATCACCCAGTGGAAGGGTTCCTTCTTGATACAGCTGGTGCTGGCATTGCGTTTCTGGCAACACGCATGACGAACCGTCAGACCATGTGGTTCTTCACTTGCTCCACTATCAAGACTGTGGACGATCATTGTGGCTATGCTTTCCCCTGGGATCCTTTGCAGCACTTTACTCATAACAATGCTGCCTATCACGACATTCACCACCAAAGCTGGGGTATCAAGACGAACTTCTCTCAGCCATTCTTCACTTTCTGGGATCGTCTGTTCAATACTCAGTGGGAAGGTGACGTCAAACTCCGCTACGAAAGGTCTCGAGAGGCCGCGCAGAAACAACTGAATCAGGATGCATCTTCAGCTGCAGCATCTTCCAGTGAAGAGAAATCATATGAGGGCCCACTCGTCTCGCCAGACGCGCCAGCCGACTCCAACGCACGAGCACGTTTGCGCAGAAAAACTGTGACTTTGTCTCCACATGTCGACGGTCTAAAGGGTGTCAATCATGGAGTGACCAGCAGTGTCCTTCAGGCCTGATTATTCATCATTCATTTCGGAATTTGCATTATTATGTTTATAATACTTTCACGTCTTTTAACTCACGCATGGAAGGACTGAAGCTGCTGGACGTCTTCGACCGATGCGCAGGAGGTTATTCTTAACCATTCTTTATGTTGCACTGTATCATGCTGTACTAATACGTGGACCATGAATTCTTGGTCCTTTGGCCTGTATCATGAGCTTTCCTTGATGAAATATCTTTACTCAATGCAATGTGTATATTTCTCAAAATCGACTACCCTGAACTCCCAAACTACGCTCAAAACAAAACTTCAAACATTCTCCCAAGTCCTCTCATCTTTCCTGCTTTCGAGGGTATCGGGGCGCACGCTTCAAACTTTGTTCGAACAAACCCACAAAACAATCTCCCAGTGGTCTTCTTGCTCATTCGCATCGAAAGTTCTCAAGTCCTCCAAATGCTTCCCTGCTTTTCTGGAACTATACCATCACTCGCCGCATTACACATCTCGGGCACTGTCCCAGCCACTGACTCGGAAAGGAAGTTGTCAATAACCCTCTTTGCACACAAGGTCCCAGGTCGTGTCCCCAGGCCCAGCCTCACGCACAGGGGCGTCCTCCCAAGATGCCTCGCTATATTCCGAGTCGGAGTGATACGCCACTGGGCTCAGCAGATCGCAGTATCGACCCGCAAGCTCTTCGCTGTTTTCGCCCAGGCGTCCTCCAAGCGTCAGGCCCTCGACCTCCTTCGACAGGGCTTCCAATGAGCCGAGTGCGGCTCCGTTGGCGGCAGTTTGCCAGTTGGCGTTGTTTCGCGGAGGGATGTAGCTCGCTTCGCCCATGGGGTGGTCCTCGTCGTAGTGAGACGCTGAGATCATTGAGTGATCGGCCTTGGGGACGGACAGGGGATGGACAGGCGGCACTCCGGCGGCCAGGTTCGTGGTGGAACGCGGTGCCCAGTCTCTGGATCCGAAGGCTTCGTATGTCGCGATGATCTCGTCGGCAATCGTGTCCCGTTCATTGACGATCTCTGCGCGGTGGGAGCTCACCTTCGCTCTTTGGCTGGGGTTTCGGTGTAGACCTTGCTGCTCGGCGGACCTGTGGTCCATGTAGACGACGATGGATTGCATATCAGCATCATCGCTACGTCGACTCGTTGCATGACTGGATGCCTCTGCGAATCCAGCTGCCTCTGGCTGTCCGGGCTCCTTTCTGATATACTTGCCTTTGTTCTTCGGGTGCTTGCGTAGGTGATCAGTGTAGTCCTCGCGCCGATGAATGCGCTCTGGGCGCTTCTTGTACGCTTTCACTGCCGCTTTTCTGGCCAATTTGAAATCAAATGCCGCTTGACCGCTTGCGTGCCAGTACTGCAGGGCGCGGTCCCCGTAATAGTTGATGGCCTGGTCAATGAACGCGAGCAGCCTAGGTGCGCGATGTTTGGATCTAGTTCTAGTCCGACTGATGAGTGCGACGCGAATGTTCTGCAGGAACATTGGCTCCTGGACTACCCTTGCCAAGATACATGCTTCGCATTTGTTCTCCTGGTAAGGTGCCGGAGCTATCGGCGGAGGACGAGTACCGAGCGGGACCAAAGACCACATGCCTTGCATAGATTGCAGCGCGCGGATTAGCCTGACATGGCTTTGGTCAAGGTTATCTGAATACCAGTCAATGACGTCCAGATGCTCGGTGACTTCCTTTCTAATGAGGCTGCAGATGTTCGCAATGACATAGGGATTGAATCCTTGGTGCGAGGGACACAAGTCCGCGGCGCGAATGACGGAATTTGGCAGGATTTGAAGCAATGTGGACTTCCGCAGCTCAGACGGGAGGTTCTTGATGGCGTGGTGGATCAATTCGCTGCGCACTTCCTGAAGTCGTCCCATACTGTCGTGGGTGTAGCGTACCGAATGCTGTAAGTTCAAAACTTGAATTAGCATTGTCAAATGGGTTTTCTTGAGGTCAGTGGCCATCAGAGGGTACCTCGTCTGGATTGCGCGCTGCATCTTGTACAGGTCTTGTTCAATCTCTTAAGCAAGCTTTCGATAAAGTTCTTTCATGCGATAGTAACTGAAGTCCCAATATAAATAGGCGTCTACCCTTTCTAGCTGGCGACAAGAATTCAAGAACGCGCAGGGCTGTCTCTCTGCTGTGGTGTCGGTATGCGTAAGTGCTGTTGTTGGGTAAGGAGAAAGGTCGAAGTTCTGACGATGATGGTGAAGAAGCAGTTGATGATGTTGAAGTTGGTAGATGATGAGAAGATGGTTAGCAGAGATGAACGTGATATCGAGAAGCCATTTTATAGTCATCAGGAAAGCCTCAAGACAAAGGCTTTCTGGTGTCAATGCTATTGTCTCTGTCAGGCTTGTAGTGGTCAAAGAAGTGTCTAAGACACAAGTCGACAAAGGGAACAAGCCGTGAGGAATAGAGATTGGACATATTCTGTACCCATCATTTCTTTGTTGTAGTTCTTCCGCTTAGTCGCTGTGATTGAGTTTAGCAACAGATATCTCCAAATGAGGAAGAACATATCTGGTAAGACATCCCGGGTCAGCACCACCATTGTGAGAGACATGCTAAAAATCTCTGGTCGATCGGAACCTCGATCGCTTTTCAAAGGACATATGACATTGACCAGGGGATGTTGCTCTGATGAGAGTGTGATACGGCAGCCAAGCCTTCAGTCCTGAACACGACCAGCATGTGTGTAAATGATCGCATCACGAGGCCGCGTCCAACCTTCCTTCCTCTCGACAACACAATATATGAATATCCTCGATGCTCTTGATGCTCCCGAGTCCAAGAACTCATCCAACCTCCCATGTAATCAGATCAACAACATTCGCTTTATGAACCGAAATAAAATTTTAAGGATATATTTATCCCAACTATGGTCGTCACATATCTCCCCTCCCAGTCCAGAAAGAAACAAGATGTGCCCTTACCATACACAGCATCACCATTGCAATTGCTGTGGGCTGACATCCTCCTCTTCCTTCGAAGTCTCTGGAGCCTGCCTGGTATAATACTACCCTTGAAACCATGGAACTCGGGAGCTTTGGATGAATTGTATCCGTCCAAGGAAAATTTACGCGACATCGTCGTTCATTTATTTCTGGCTCTCTATCAGCTCATGTTTCTCTTGTCACTGCCTATTTGTGTTATTCTCGCCTTCCCGGCGCTGGGGATCGGAATTTATATGACAATCGCTTTAACTTTGAATTGGGTCATTTGCAGGTTTGCTTTGAATGGGAGTGCCAGGATTTTGCAGTCGCGAGTCCCCGTCGAACCACGTCCTGAACACGAGCGTGAGCACTGGATCTTCGTTAATGGAGTCGGAGCCGGGTGAGTTCTCAGATATCCCATCAGGGATCGTGCCACTCATGTGATTGCTTTAAGGTATCACTGGCTGCAGAGCAGCGTTGATCGGCTGGCGTATACGTTTGGCAGAAACATTACCGGCGTTCACAATCCAACGTAGGTTCTCTATGCCGCCGTCAAACATCGATTTGGATTTGGGTGACTCATGACGAAAGATATGTAGACTTGGGATCGTTTTCGATGTCATCGAGTGCTTGATCCAAAGGAATTTCTCATACGCCACCTCGGACGTGAGGGATGCGTACGCGATCATCAAGGACGCATTGTTGAATCCACAATACGAGAAGGTGATCCTCATTCTTCACAGCCAAGGTGGTATTGAGGGGGGCTTGGTCATTGACTGGCTGCTGGATGAGTTGCCTCGAGAGCTGCTGCATAATCTCGAGGTATATACCTTCGGTAACGCGGCGAACCATTTCAACAATCCGTTTAAGACATTGTCGCATGCTCGTCGGAACGAATCCGAAGGTGAAAGTCCACAGGCCAATTCGGCATCAATAGCGACAAAGACCATTCGTCGAATCGAGCACTATGCAAACTCCAAGGACTTTGTCAGCGTGTGGGGGATATTGAACTTTGCCAGTATTCCTAATCGATACATGGGACGAGTTTTTGTGCGGCCTGGTTCCGGTCATCAATTCATCCAGCACCATTTAGATACCATGTTCACGTTAGGGAAAGATATGAAGACCCTGGACACGAATGATTTCATGGAAATGGAAGTGGAAGTCCAATTAGATGGGTCAAATAGGCCAGAAACAGACAGGAGAGACACTGGAGACAGGCTCGACCATGACGAGATTGACTTTCCGTATGATGAGATGACCGCAAATGGCTCATTACTCCAGACAGATGCCTATCTCAGCAGGAAGATGAAAGTCAAGGATCTTAGCCGGCTGTGGCTCTATCGAAATGGTGCATCACCAATAGACGGGTCCTGATGGTGTCATCGAGCGGTGCTTGCCCCATTATTTACTCGGTCGTGGCTCTCTTTTAATTTTCTAAAGCGTGTTTCGCCAGGGATCTTGGGTAGGTAGGTAGTCAGTTCACTTCAGTAGGTGATCTAATGGATAGGTTATGACCGAATCGCTATTGTTGTTAGCAAGGGATAAATCTCGTCGAGAGCATCCTCAGGCATCAAGGTCTCTTCTGAGTGCTGGCAGTAGATAGTGGCCAGTGGGTCCATCCGCTTTTTCTCCTCTTCCTCTCTTATCTCATCGATTCCGGAGTTTCCACTTTCCAACTGTTTGTGGTTTTCCCGACCCAATGAATCTTCCCCGTCATTTCACCGTGGTCGGCGACATCCGCCAAAAGTTCTTCTCTAATTTAGCTGCAGGTTGTATTGCAGCCAGCCATTGCACTATTCAATCGCCAATCTCCTTCGCTTTTTGACCGGGTTTAAATCGTTGCTCAGTTGCATCGGAAGCTGTGCCGTGCTGCAGCTATCTTTACAATGGATAAATCATCAGTCCATCGATACGGGTCGCAATAGCAATAAGCTCAACCTTAAGTGGCAGACTCTCAGCGATCAGTCACTACGGAGCACAGGGGATTTTTGCTTAGTCCCCAAAAAGTCAAGCTTGATGCTTGTCAAGCAGTGAAAAGCTCAACACACAGGCCAAGCTTTTGCTTTCCCGTGTCACAGACGCCCACAATGGAGCTTATGCTTGGTGTTTCGCAACATGTCATAGCTCCTATGACATCGCAGTTTGTGGACGAAGATACCTCTGCTTTCGAGGACAGCGGTCAAGTGCAAAGGTTTGTCTATTTTTTATGTTCTTCAATCAATCGCCTGATTATTGATATAAGATTCCAGAGCTCTCTGGCAATATCGGACACAGAAACTATCCGCCTTCGTGGCCACTGGAAATCTGCATCTTGCGGCGGTCTCTGCTTCGTGCCTCGTCCTCATTCTGTCAACATGTCTTCACTATGCTGTTTGGGCTTTCAAGAAGAAGTCTAGACGCTGCATGGATGCTACCTCTGCTGATTCAAAGGCAATTGTTCCCCTACACTTTACTCTTGCACACCTGGCAGCTGCTATGGCGGCTTGTGGTCTGAGCTGGGGTGAAGTGCATCGTAGAGGAGGCTGGAAACAGTCAATACTTTTGAGCTACATTGTCCTACTGGCTATCGTGAGGCTTTGTTTCCAGGGCATTATCCACTGGATTCATTTCTATCGCCACTTGAACGTGATGACCTTAGTGGCCTTGTCTCTGGCAGTTGTGAAGGATCTGGTCCCAATAGCGATTGTCGGCTCGACCTACCGTCCAACTCCTCTTGGAAGTGCCTCACTAGCCTGCGTGGCTGCTACGCTGGCGATTGTGCTTGCGAGTCCTCGACCCCAATCTCCATTGATCTCGGATGCCGAAATCCATGATGCGCAGGTGAAGGCAGATGTTTCGCCGGAGGAAACCTGTTCTTTGTTCTCGTACTATTGCTCCTATGAATGGATCACTTATGTGATCTTTCGTGGCTGCCAGAGAGATCTGACCATGGATGACTTGCCGCCGCTTCCCTCATATGACGAACCGTTGAAGTGGCTGGAGAAGATCAAGAAGCAGCGCCAAAAAGGCGGGAAAACGTTTCGAACTTTGTGCAGACTGTTGAAGACAGAGATTAAAAGTATGGTTTGCTGGGCTGCGACTACTTCCACAGTAGACTTCTTCGCCTCATTTTCCATGCTGCGGTTGCTGGCATATTTGGAAGACCCGACTGGTGCAGTCGTGCATCCCGCGCTCTGGATTTGCTTGCTATTCGTCGGTCCTATGATGCGGTCCCTTTGTTACCAACAGTACATTTTCACAGCCACAAGGCTCCTTGTCCGCGTCAATATCTCGCTCGTCCAGGAGATTTATCAGACCGCTATGCGATCGTATATCTACGATGATTCTGTACATCCACATGGCAGACCACACCGTCACGAGTCGGCGAGGCACAAGGCACACACCACGAAGAGTATATCGAGATCTAGCCAGGCTAATCTGACAAGTCTGATGTCGTATGATGTTGATGCTATATACAATTCCCGGGACATCTTTTATGTAGCTACTGCAGTGCCGATATCCACTACCATTGCCATGATCTTCCTTTACCAGATGCTCGGGTGGCCATCCTTATTCGGCGTCCTGGTGTTGTTCTGTTTGACTCCGCTTCCGGCTCTGGCATCACGCAGGGTCTCACGCATCCAACAATCCGTGATGAGAGCAACTGATGTCCGTCTTGCCAGGATTTCAGAGTACTTGAATTCTATCCGAACCCTTAAGTTCTTCGGGTGGGAGCCAGCTGCTGTGGCTTCAATCAATGAGATCAGAAGCGTGGAGCAACGTCGTCTCTGGAGACGAAGTGTCTTTGCCGCCGCCATTTCTATGGCAGGTGATCTGTTACCTATGCTGAGCTTGCTGGTCATGTTCTCCGTCGTAGTTTTATTTACCGACCGTTCTCTGCGGGCCCCGATTGCCTTCACATCTTTGTCAATCATGGAGACTCTGCGTTCTCAATTCGTCTGGCTCTCAAATATCAGCAGATATTCGGCCCAAGGTGCGGAGTCGCTTCGTCGAGTGGATCGCTTTTTTGACACAGCAGGCGAAATCAGACGCCATCCAGACGGACCGTTGGAGCTCAAGCACGCAACATTCCGGCGAACACCAATCGCAGATTTCCGGTTACACGACATCTCAATTTCTTTCAAGCACAATGCCCTCAATGTTGTGGCAGGCCCAACTGGGAGTGGGAAAACTTCTCTGTTGCTGTCGTTGTTAGGTGAGACTGTGCTGGAGTCTGGAACAGCCACCTGTCCCCAGGATGTGGCCTATGTACCACAGTCGCCATGGCTGCAGAATGACACGATTCGACAGAACATTATCTTCTACAGCCCGTTTGACGAGGCCCGTTACAATACCGTCATTGAAGCCAGTGGTCTTATCCAGGATCTTCAACAGCTTCCGGCTGGCGATCTCACTCTAGTCGGTGAGAAAGGCACGTCGCTGTCAGGGGGTCAGAAGCAACGTGTCTCTCTCGCAAGGGCATTGTATTCAAGGTCATCTACGTTGCTCTTGGATGACATATTTTCCGCACTAGATACACATACAACCACCTTGGTGTATGAGAAGTGCTTCTGCACTGATCTATTAGCAGACAGGACCGTTGTACTTGTCACGCATTTGCCAGCTGCGCTGAAGGACGCTGATCAGGTTGTTCAGCTGAACCATGGCAAGGCTTCCGTAATCAAAACTGCTTCTGAGTCCTCCGAGGCGCGCACACAGAATATACCAGATATCGCCGAAGGGGCAGAACAAAACTCAGCAATCAGCAGTTCGCCGACAATGGCAGAAGGGTCTGCTACTGAATCAGACGCCACTGTCAATGTCATACCCAATGTTCGCGCACACCAATCTGTACAGACGGATCGCATTGCCAAAGAAACGTCGGCTACAGGTCGCGTACCACGTACATTATGTGAGTCTACATTAGTTAAGTAACGAAGCTATTAATGCTAATGGTTCTGTAGTCTTCCGGTACATGCTGTTGTTTGGCGGAATCTTCTATGCAATGGTCACGCTGCTAGCGACTGTCATGGTGCAATTTGCTTACTTCTCAATCACATACTGGCTTTCTATTTGGACAAGCGCGTATGAGAAATACGATCATCCTAACGCACTGTTCTACCTAGCTGTCTATGCTGCAGCGACAATTACCTTTCTCCTCCTTCAACTCACGAACAATCTTCTATATCAGTATGGGAGCTGGACGGCTGCCAAGAAGATGCACACGAAACTGGTAAAAGCAGTACTCTCTGCCCCGATCTCTTGGTTCGACCAGAACCCCATCGGACGTGCTATAAATCGCTTCGGAAATGACACCAGGTCCATGGATACTGTTTTGATTGACTGGCTGCGCATGTCCATCGAAAACGGGCTACGCTTCTTGCTTAGAATAGCGAGTATCGCTTCGATCATGCCGATTTTTGCCCTCCCGGCCGCCGTGGTTTGTACCATAGGCTTTTTCATTGGGGAGATGTACACTCGGGCCCAGATTTCCATCAAGAGATTATGTTCGATCAATTACTCTCCAATTTTCTCCCATTTCACTGACTCCCTGGCTGGCATGACTGTCATCCGAGCCCGACAAGGCATGACTGAGGTCTTCCAGAAGCTGTTGGCGGAAAAGCTTGCAGTTCATGCTCGTTCCGCAGAGGCCCAGTACAACTGCAACCGTTGGGTATCAGTCCGATCAGATTTATGCGCAGCGTCCGTCGCAGCATCGGCAGGATGCGTGGCGTATTTCTGGTCGGGTTCCGCGGGCCTCGTTGGATTCTCATTGACCAACGCTATTGGCCTCAGTCAGACAATCCTGACATTAGTCCGCACGATGAACGAACTCGAGGTCGAACTCAACTCGTTCCAGCGAATAAGCGAATACGCGGAGATCGAGCCTGAGGAGAAACTGAGTGACAAGGAGCGCGCCAAAGCGGACACTGTACCTGCGAGCTGGCCAACATCCGGGAAAGTGGAGTTTCACAGCGTCTCGGCCCGCTATCAGCCCGACGGACCAGACGTCCTACGAAACGTCTCCTTCGTGGCTAACCCCGGCGAACGCATCGGCATCGTAGGCCGAACAGGCAGCGGCAAGAGCACCCTCGGCCTCTCCCTGCTCCGCTTCGTGAATCTCACGTCAGGCCGCATCACAATCGACGGCCTCGACATCAGCCAGATCCTCCTGCATCGCCTCCGCACAAGCGTCACCCTCATCCCTCAAGAACCCGTCCTCTTCTCCGGCGACGTGCAATCAAACCTCGACCCATTCGGCGAGTCCAGCGAGACAGAGCTGCACTCCGCCCTATCCGCCTGCACCTCCATCCAAGTGCACGGCGGCAGCGCCGGAGAAGCAGGCAACAGCAAATCGACCCGCCCCCTCACCCTCGACACACCCGTCGCAGCCA